TCTGATCCACCTGCCTCACACACACACTGAGTATTGAGACCTATAAACACTGCGTTTGCCTTTAGCAAGGACTCAGCTGCTTCATTTGGGCCCAACATATCCTGCCTTGATAAGAGGGTTTGTGGCTAGTCTCATTGAATTTTGTAATGCATGGTTTGATTGGTTTTGGGGGGGTTGGTTTTTTTTGAGGCAGGGTTTCTCTGTGGCTTAGGAGACTGTCCTGGAACTAGCTCTTGAACTCACAGTGACCCGCCTGCCTCTGCCTCATGAGTGCTGGGAATAAGGCGTGCACCACCACCGCCCGGCTGACTACAGGTGACTTTTGTCATGGTTATATTTACCTAGTTTGCCACACACCCCAATGAAACCCTAATACAAATACTCTATGAATCAAAACACCGCCTCAAACAGGTACCTTAGCTGATCACTCCAATCCTGGAGGTGCCCTGCAGTGAGGATGCACATGAGAGAAAAAATTAAAAAGAAGGATGCATCATGGTATTTTCCAACTAGGTTGGCTTTGAACTGACTGAGATCTCCCTGCCTCTGCCTCCTGAGTGCTGGGATTAAAGGTGTATGCTATTGCAGCATGGCTCAGGGTTTTCTTTTTCCACCTATTTTGTGTCAAATTTTGACATACACAAAATAATTATACAGTGTTTGTCTAATGCAGCCCTGGCTTTGCCCCAAGTTCTGGCAATTTGTTTCCAGGTTGCTGAGCTCTGAGATTGCAGAATTGATTGTCATGAAAAACAAACAAACAAATACTGGGCGTAGATTTTGCAGTCTCTAAGATTGCATTCTTTGGGGCTGGAGAGATGGTTATGTGAGTCAGTGAAATTCTTGCATTACCATGGATGGTTAGTTCAATTCCTAATTTTTTTTTTTTTGGTTTTTCGAGACAGGGTTTCTCTGTGTAGCTTTGGAGCCTATCCTGGCACTCGCTCTGGTGATCAAGCTGGCCTGGAACTCACAGAGATCCTCCTGCCTCTGCCTCCTGAGTGCCGGGATTAAAGGCATGTGCCACCAACGCCTGGCTCAGAATTTTTTTTGGTTTCCTCACACAGGCTTTCTCTGTGTAACATCCATGACTATTCTGGGACTCTCTTTGAACACCAGGCTTGCCTCAAACTCTCAGAGATCCACCTGCCTTGGCCTCCAAAGTCTGGGATTAAAGGTGTGTGCCACCAAACCCAGTTTGAAAACCTTCATAACTTTTCCAATATATATTAATTCATAGCAAAGCTCCTAAAATGCATCCTGGGGAACAGTCACTTCTTAGCACCTGGAGGTGACATTGCTTCAAGTTAGCGTTCAAGGAGATTCCATATAAAGAAGAAAACTCTGTGCCAAAAAATTGAAAACTAACAACAACAACAAAAAAACAGACTCATTGTTTTAATGTTATCTTGTCAGATGCTCATCAAAACATCTGCAAACCATGGCACTGTGTGAGCTGTAAATTGATAATTTGCCTTAGCAAACAACAAAATTCAAATGGTTGAGGTATTGTTAAGTGGGTAGTTTGGGATCGCCTCAGCATCTAATCGCTTGTGTGGTGGGCCATTCGGCTCCTTCTGAATTCCAACTGATATAGGTCATCAGCACAGACAAAGAAAGTTCAAGGCCAGTTAAGGATTTAGTGGGAGGGTCTCTTGGAATGATGGGAAAAAGGTGGAGGATTGGGAGTGGCCTGGATGGAAAATATATTTAAGGCCAGGTCTTCAGACTGGAGCTTCAGAGAGGGCTGCCATCTGGTGAAGATGGGAGAGCCTGCTGACAGCCAGGGTAAGTTGGCCTGTAATGGTTCTGGGTGGATTACAGGGGTGGGTTGTCTGTACCACTTTATACTTCCCAGATCAATGTAAAAGTGATCCATTCCTGCCGTAGCTTCACCACCAGGAGCTGTTGTTGGTTCTAGTTTTTGGCATTTCTGAGGAAGGTTCAAATCTTAAAGAATTTTTCATTTGCATTGATGTGGTCATCATAGATGTTGTTTACTTTCTTGAGTATAGGTTACTTTATACAGTCATGGCTGTCCTGGGACTCTCTGAGTAAATCAGGTTGTGCATAAACTTAGAGAAATGCTCCTCTTTCTACCTCCTGAGATCTGGAATTGAAGTCATGTACCTCCACTCCAAGTCAGTTTAATTTTTATCTTATTGTATCCTTTGTCTTGTTTTTGGTTTTATTTATATATTTATTTTGGTTTTTCATCACAAAGTTTCCAAGTAGGTTTGGAAACCCTCCTGGAACTCTCTTTGAAGACCGTGCAGGCCTTGAATTCACAGATTTCTGTCTGACTCTGCCTCTAGAGTGCTGGGATTAAATGCATATGCCAGCACAGCCGAGCTTGTCCTTTGCTATTTAAGGCAGGATTTTTCAGTATAGGTCTGGCTCTTCTGGAACTCTCATTATTTAACAGGCAGCCCTTCAAATCAGAGATCCTATTGCCTCTGACTCCTTAGTACAGGGATTAAAGGTGTGTTTCATCAAGTCCTGTTAGGGATTCTTGTTCATAAATTTCATTTGGCTGCTCTTCCAGAGGTTCTGAGTTCGATTCCCAGCAACCACATAGTTGCTCTCAACCATATATACTGAGATCTGGTCCCTCTTCTGGTGTTCAGGTGTACATGTGGGCAGACCACTGTATACATATAAAATAAACAAATCTTTTTTTAAAAAAAAGCCAGGTGGTGGCTCATGCCTTTAATCACAGCACTGGGGAGACAGAGGCAGGCAAATCTCTGTGAGTGTGAGACCAGGTAGGTCTACAAGAGCTAGTTCCAGGACAGCCTCCAAAGGCACAGAGAAACCCTTTCTCAAAAAACAAAACAAAAAATAAAGCAAGGTGGTGGTGGCTCACGCCTTTAATCCCAGCACTCTGGAGGCAGAGGCAGGCGAATCTCTGTGAGTGTGATACCAGGTAGGTCTACAAGAGCTAGTTCCAGGACAGCCTCCAAAGGCACAGAGAAACCTTGTATTTAAAAACAAAACAAAAAATAAAGCCAGGTGGTGGTGCCTCACACCTTTAATCCCAGCACTCTGGAGGCAGAGGCAGGAGAATCTCTGTGAGTGTGAGACCAGGTAGGTCTACAAGAGCTAGTTCCAGGACAGCATCCAAAGGCACAGAGAAACCCTGTATTTAAAAACAAAACAAAAAATAAAGCCAGGTGGTGGTGGCTCACGCCTTTAATCCCAGCACTCTGGATGCAGAAGCAAGCAAATCTCTGAGTTCAAAGGCAGCTTCTAATGCCACAAAGTAGCCTTACTTAAAAAAAATTATCAATACATCAATCTGTAGAACAGAATTCCACTTCTGTCTCAGGTTCTTTTCAAGAACAGATTTAGAACTCATGTCTTTCAAGTCACCAAAGATGTAGGGGAAAAAGGCCCAGAAAGCAAGCAGAATAAATATAAAATTGGACAGAATGTCATCATGATGTACTCTGTAGAACATATATGGGAAGAAAATACACACTCACTGAATCAGGGTATGATCATCATGTATGAGGTAGATGACCAGAAGTTCATGGTCATTCTTAGACATCCAATGAGTTTGAGAGCAGCAGGATGTACATAAATCTGGTGTCAGTCTTTGATTTCCCTGGAGTCTTATCCCTTAGAATCAACAGGTCTGAAGCTTGTGAAATGGCACAAAGTCAATGCCACCTAGCCTGAGAACCTGAGCTCTTTCATGGTCCACATGAAAGAAAAAGAAAACATATATTGTTTTCTCATATCCACAAATATACTTGACAAGATACTGCCCCAATGCAAACATGAACAGACATGTAATAACATTTCTCAATATATTACTCATTTTCTAACTCCCTGTCTTTGGCTTTCAGCCAGGATCTGTCATAAGGCTGGAGAGGTTCTCTGCCAATGAGCCTCATCTCACCCAGCTTTTTAAAATTTGAACATATACATCCCTTGTATGCTTCAAGGATGATTTCCAGGATTTTTTTTCACTTCACTTCGCATCTTTTTTGCACGGGTTACAGAACAAGATAGAGGTCTCTTGGAGTTTTTGTATTCTTGCACTGGGAGTCACATGATCTTTTGAAAACAATCTGACAATTTCCTAGTACTGATTAAGTGCATTTCAGTCCCTAAAAAAAAAGGGATGCCAGATTTGTTCTGAATACCAAATACCTAGGGACAATCTGTGAACAGAAACCCAGATAACAGCAGGGGGCCTGGTTAAATCTATGTAGAGAAGACAGGGAGTACAGAATACTAGGAGAGCTGTAGAGATTCTGGATAGCCCAAGGAGGGAGAGGGAGGTTGGAAATATTTGCAAACAATGAGGTAAGGATCTAAATATCCTTTGACCAGAAGAAGGGGTGCCTATCGGTAGGGAGAAATCCTGGATACCTGTACCACTAACTATGACCAATTGGGGATTCCAGGTCCTGCTTCTCCTCTGGGAGCCCATCCTCTGGAAGAACTTGAAGATCAGCGCTTAGCAGTTATTGAAGACACTTCTCCGGCTGTCCCCCTGCCAAGATCTATGGAGGAAAAATTGGAAAACATGAGGGGAAAAGAAGCTGCTGAAATAGATGAAGAATTTGTTACATTATTAGTGAAAGAAACAGAAGCAAGATTTCCAGATGTAGCCAAAGGATATGTTAAGGAGGTCATTCATTTGAGGGATTACTATGATTTGAATGTACTTTGTAATTTTCTTTTGGAAAACCCTGATTATCCAAAGAGAGAAGAGAGAGTTATTATGTACCCCAGTAGCAGCCTGCTTCCCAGCCAGGATGATGTGAAATTGCCAAAAGTAGACTTTTTTGACTATTTCAAACTGACTCCACTTAACCAGCAATGCTTCATCCAAGCTGCTGACCTCTTGATGGCTGAATTCCAGATGCTCAGCAGCGAAGACATCAACTGGGCCCTACAGGAGCTCAAAGGACACTATGCAATCACCCGAAAGGCCCTTTCTGATGCTGTCAAATTATGGCAGGAACGATCAACTGAAGCCAGTGGAAAACAGAAAAAGAGGAAAGAAATGCATGAAGATTCTTTCATAGATTTCAAATTTCAACAAGGTAACATAAAAATAGAAAAGAGGATGTTCCTTTTGGAAAACAAGCGTCAACACGGTAGATCCTATGACCAGAAAGACCTCCATCCAGCTGTTCAGCAAGAACAAGAATTCTATGAACAGAAAATGAAAGAGATGGCAGAGCGTGAAGACTTTTTGCTTGCCCTGCAGATGAACAGAGAAGAATATCAAAAAGAAGGACAGCTGATTGAGTGTGGATGCTGCTATGGGGAATTTCCATTTGAGGAGCTGACACAGTGTTCTGATGCCCACTTATTCTGCAAAGAGTGTCTCATTAGATATGCCCAAGAGACAGTGTTCGGGTCAGGAAAGTCAGAACTCACCTGCATGGAGGGCAACTGCACATGTTCTTTCCCAACCAGTGAGCTGGAGAAGGTGCTCCCCCAGACCATTCTGTGCAAATACCATGAACGCAGGGCTGAAGAAGACATCACTGCAGCCTGTGCTGATGAGCTGCTCAGATGCCCCTCCTGTAACTTCCCCGCTCTGTTGGACAGGGAGGTGAAGACGTTCAGCTGCCCTAATCCTGGCTGCCAGAAGGAGACCTGTAGGAAATGTCAGGGACTCTGGAAAGAGCATACGGGCCTCACCTGTGAAGAGCTGGCCGAAAAGGATGAAATCAAGTACAGGGCATCAGTTGAAGAAAAAATGACTGCTGCTCTCATTAGAAAATGCCACCAGTGTGGGGCCGGCCTCCTCAAATCCGAAGGCTGCAACCACAAGCCCTGCCGCTGTGGTGCCCATATGTGCTACCTCTGTCGAGTTTCTATCAATGGCTATGACCACTTCTGCCAGCATCCTCGCTTTCTAGGAGCCTCTTGCCAGGAGTGTTCCAGGTGCTCCCTCTGGACCGACCCCACCGAAGACGATGAAAAGCTGATTGAGGAAATCCAAAAGCAGGCTGCAGAGGAACAAAAAAGGAAGAATGGCGAAACCACATTCAAACACATCGGGCCCCCACTGGAGAAACCAGCCAGCAAAGTACAGCACGTGGAAGGCCAGCCATGGCCTGTCCCAGAGAACCCGTTCCCACAGATACCACCCTATTTCTTTGTTCTTCCAAATTTCCTCCTACCACATGGGTGGCCCATGTTTAACAACTTACCCATCAATGCACATCCTAGGCCAGCAGCCTACATACCACCCCTGCCCAACTACGGCTTTGGAAACATGCATGTGCCCTTGGATGGTGGTGATGGTGATGATGATGGTAGCGGTAATGACGGTGACGGTGATCATGATAGGAGAGATGATGATGAGGAGGAGGAGGATGGAGATGGTGGTTACCGTGGTGATGGTGATGATGGAGATGGTGGTTACCGTGGTGATGGTGATGATGGAGATGGTGGTTACGGTGGTGATGGTGATGATAGTGATAATGATGGTGATGGTCATGATGGTGATGATGGTAGAGGTGAGGATGATGATGTTGATGATCTGGTTGAGTGACGATGATGTTGGTGTTAGTTATTGTGTTCATTGATGGTGGTAATGATGATAATGGTGACACAGGAGCTCTGTGTTGGGTCCCCTGAACTGTGATACCAGTTTGAATGACAGTGTCTTGGAAAGATGGGTCACATGCTGCATGACAAGTTCCTCCAAGGACCTATTAGTGTATTTTGTTCCCTGCACTACCCTAGAGGAGCCAAAGTTGGGTGGTTACTCCAAGCAATTCCCCCAAGACTCATGAGCCTCTGGAATAGACACCCAGTTCTGGGTCTACCCAGAAACTACTCCAAGTTAGCCATGGGAGCCTGGCAGTTTATGTGACTGCAGAAAGAACAGGTGCCACCCAGTACTTGGCCCTCAGGGATATAAAGTCAGGATCATGTCCTTGGAAGTACAGTCTGTCTGTGGCTGCAGGCAGGGAAGAATGCTAGTCCCTGTCTCTATGAGATTTGTCTTGGTGCGCCCCCTACAACCTGTTTTCCTGCAGGGCTAGAGGGGCAATAGGTGGACAAACAGGAATCCCAGAGGCAGCTGCCACCCTAACCTGTTTGGCCCAGGATTCTTACTGTTCTGACAAAATGCCTAACTGCTCTCAGTGTATGTGCTTTAAGAGAGGAGAGAATCCAGTATTTGCACTTAGCAAAATATTTCGAAGTTAAAAGAGCATGAACCCATTTTGTACAAAAGAAAAAAAGGAAAAAGATGAAGTAGATTGTTAAGGGATTATTTAACTTTTAGTAGTAGAAATATAGACAACAAATCTGTTTTAAACTCCTGTGAACAGAGATTGTATCGCATGGAACTTGAATTGCGTGTAAATGTCAGTGCATGCTAAATAAAAGAATGTTCAGTCTAACGTTTCAGAAGATTTCTGATCATGTTTACCTCAAAGTCACTCTGTCAACAGACTGTCCTTGATTTTAAAATTTTCTTAGTATACATTTCTAAGTAGCTGGGGTTACAAGTCATGTTCCTGGTCTGGCTCTTATGTGCCCTCTGATAATAAGAGTGTGACTATTCTCTTTTAACACCTAGGAATTCAGGAGAAATTTTGTGGGTTGTTGCTGTCTGGTTCTTTTCCGTTTTGAGACAGGGTCTCCTGCAGCCACGGGAGGATTTGGAGCCACTATGTAGTTAGTGTAGGCTGACTTTCCCCTTCTGATCCTTCTTTTTTTGTTTTCTGATCCTTCTTTCTCCACCAAAAAGAGCAAACAGACCTGATGACCCAACTTGGAATGTAGAAGCAATAAATGGTCCCAACTTCTACAACCCTTTATTGAACTGGCATTCAAAATTAGACAACATATCAGGCTCAACATTCATCTACAGTGAGAACTAAGTAGGCCAGGCCAATATTCTCAGTTTCCATTTCATACATAATCCTGTCACTCCATATTGATTTGCACAGTGATTAAACATTGTGGGGTCCAGATTACACACATCTTTAATCCTAAGAGAGACATACATGGTCCCCTGGAGAAGGGGATAGGGTCAAGATATGCTGAGCAAAGTGGGAGCATGGAAAGAGGGGGGAGGGAGCTAGGAGAATGAGAGGGGAAAAGATAAGGGAGCAGAAAGGTTGAGTCCGGGGATGAATAGATGATGACAAGAATGGAGATATCATAATAGAGGGAGACATTTTTGGTTTACAGAGACATACTAGCACTCAGGAGGCTAAGGAATGTCTTTGATCAAGAACTGCCTAGGAGGAGGCAAAAATAGGTAGAAATTTGGGTTCAAGAAGATATTTAAGCTCCTTCTGCCTTCTGCCATCTGCTTGAGGTGACTCTGTGCTTTCCTGTGTCCCCAACTCTCCCTATCACCCCCTCCTCACTTCTTCCTGTGCGTGCTCCTCAAATAGAGTGGACCCACCCAGACAGTCAGGCCCACCCTGGCTGTGGTCACATCTCTCCCTTGACCCCCTCCTCCTTCCACCATTTTCTTAAGGAGAGTCTGGCCATTGCCCTGGACCAAACTCCCCCATCACGAAATCCTGGAAACTTCTTGGGCATGCTCCTCAAGTAGAGTGGACCTGCCCAGACAGGAAGGCCCACCCGGACTCTGGCAGCACCTCATGCTTGGCCCCCCCTCTGCCCTCCGCCCACTGCTTGAAGGGATTCTGGGCATTGCCCCAGACCCAACTTCTCACATCACCCATTCCTGGGATCTTCCTGGGCCTGCCCCTCAAGTAGAGTGGACCTGCGCAGGGAGGACCACCCTGAGTGCCGAGACACCTCATGACTCCTGACACAAATCACTTTTGGTTCCCTCTCTGATATTTGCTCTTTGCTTGAGAGGATTAGAGGAGAGGGAGAAACCCCAACTGCACCCAATGGAAGAAGGGATGGGAAGACAAAAGTATGAGAACACACTCAACAAAAGAGAGACAAATATGACAGGACCAAAATTGAGGGATTCCACACCAGCAAGACTTGAAAAGCCCAACTCAGAATAAGAAGAAATGAGGGACCTTAAAAACTATCTCATGAAAATGATAGAGACCGTTAAAGGGGTCTTTAATACCAGTACTCCTCACACTGTTACCCAACTTAAAAGCAGAAGAGTCATTGCCAAACTCTTTTTTCGAGGATATAATTACTATGCAAGACCCACAAAGATACAACTATGAAAGAGAAGTACATACCAGTATCCCTCATGAGTCTACAGGAAGAAATACTCAATATAATACTAATCAAATCCAAGAACATACCAGAAAATTCATCCACCGTGGTCAAGTGGGCTATACAAGAATCTATCAGGGTAATCCACCAGATAAAGACACTGCAATAAAAAACCACATGATCATCTCACTAGATGCCAAAGAGCCTTTGACAAAATCCAACACCCCTCCATGATAAAGGGCCTTAAAAGACAGGGATAACAGGAGCATACCTGAACATAATAAAAGCAATATACAGTAAACCAACAGAAAACATCAAAGTAAATGAAGAAAAACTCAATGTGATTGTTCTAAAATCAGGAACACTTCAAGGCTGTCCACTCTCTCCATAGCTCTTCAATATTTTACTCAAAATTCTAACTAGAGCAATAAGACAAATGGAGATCAAGGGGATAAAATTTGGAAATGAAGAAGTCAAAATTTTACTATTTTCAGATGATATGATAGTTACATAAGCACCCCAAAGAACTCTACCAGGAATATCTACAGTTGATAACCACCTTCATCAAAGTGGCAGGATACAAGAACATCTCAAAAAAATATCAGTAGTCCTACTATAAATAGATGATAAATGGAGTGAGAAAGAAATCAGAGAAACAGCACCCTTTAGAATATCCACAAACAACATAAAATATCTTGGGGTAACACTAACCAAGACTAATAAAAGACCTGTAGAGCAAGAACTTTAAGACTTTAAAGAAAGAAATCAGGGATGCGTTCTTTGGCTTACTCCTTTCTGCCTGTTGATGAAGAGGAGGAAGCATCGCTGAAGCCTCTCATTTCCCTGCCATCATGTCTAAGTCGGAGTCACCCAGTGAGCTGGAAAACAGCTGGGGAAGCTCTACATTGAAGGGATAAGCTTCAAAACAACTGAGAACATTCTGAGAAGTCATTTTGAGCAACGGGAAACACTCACCAGCTGAGTGGTAATGAGAGATCCAAACACCAAGCAATCCAGGGGCTTTGGATCTGTCCCATATGGCACTGTGGAAGAAATAGATGGTCCCATGAATGCAAGGCCACACAAGGTGGATGGCAGAGGTGTGGAACCTAAGAGAGCTGTTTCAAGAGAAGATTCTCAAAGACCAGGGGCCCACTTAACTCTGACAAAGATCTTTGTTGCCCAAGACTAAAGAGGACACTGAAGATCATCACCTTCTTGATTATTTTGAGCAGTATGAAGTGATTGAAATCATGACAGACAGAGGCTGTGGGGAAAAAAGAGGGTTTCCTTTTGTCACCTTTGATGACCATGACTCTGTGGGCAAGATTATTATTCAGAAATACAATACTGAAAGTACAAGAAGCCTACAGAATGCCAAATAGAGGAGACCACAAAACAAAGTTCCCTCGTGACATAATAATTAAAACACCAAACTACAGAACAAAGAAAGAATATTAAGAGCAGCAAAGGAAAAAAGGCCAAGTAACATATAAAGGCAAATCTATCAGAATTACAACAGACTTCTCCATAGGAACTCTGAAAGCCAGAAGGACCTAGATAGGTATTCTACCAACTCTGAGAGAACACGGATGCAAGCCCAAAGTACTGTACCCAGCAAAGCTTTCAATCACCATAAATGGAGAAAACAAGATATTCCACGACAAAACCAGATTTAAACAATATGTAACCACTAATCCAGCCCTACAGAAAGGACTGGAAGGAAAATTCCAACCTAAGGAAATGAATTACACTCACAAAAACATAGGAAATAGATAATCCCACTTTACGAAAACTCAAAAGAAAAAGCAGATTAAATCCACATACAATACCACTACCAATAACAAATCAAAAACAAACAAGAATAAACACTCAATGGACCTTAATTTCCCTCCATATTAATGGTCTTAACTTGCCTATAAAAAGACACAGGATAATAGGTTGGATACGAAGACAGAATCCATCCTTCTGCATACAAGAAACACACCTCAAATTCAAAGACAGACATTACCTCAGAGTAAAGGGTTGGGATAAGATACACCAATCAAATGGTCCCAAGAAACGAGCTGGGTTAGCTATCCTAGTATCTAACAAGTTACACTTCAAACTAAAATCAATCAAAAGACATGAAGAACGTCATTTCATATTCATCACAGGAAAAATCCATCAGGAGGAAGTCTCAATTCTAAACATCTATGCCCCAAATACAAAGGCACCAACATTCCTAAAAGAAATGTTACTTAAACTCAAATCACAA